ACAGAGTTATACTGCTATAACAGTGCTTATCCCATTAAAGTTTATTCCAGTAAATTTAGGGGAATAAGCTATAAAGATACAAGGCCTTAATGCCAGTATAAGTGCATCAGATAGGGGCTGTACCAATTTAACTATTTCAGTAAAAAATCAATCCCTCTAACCAAAGTTAAAGTGGTACAAAATCTCTGTAGAGCAGGCCTTGGAGGAAATATAGTGATACAGTACAAGGTGTATGGGCTGATGTTCTCCGTATTAAACACATCAAGAAGTTCACCAAAGAATAGGGGAGTGTTGGCATAGCATAGAAGTTAAATCTCTCTTCCTCTTGCTGGAGTGTTTTGAGGTAACATTAATGAATTTTGTCTTGCTTTTAAGACCCGTACACATGCCCAGAGACACCTCTGATGAATACATTTTTAGAAACAACAACCAAAAAAAGACTTACATCCTACTTACAGTAATATAATGTTAGGGCTGTGACTACTAGAGTCAGAACCTGTACTGTAGCTGCTAAAAGCAAGAAGATGAATCTTTTCAACAATTTGTATCTTTTCTGAGAACAAACCACACAAGCATTTTTCTAACAGTAAATCCAGACTGCCATTAAATAGATCAAAGTAGTCCAAATGCATTTAGCATGTGCGAAAGGCAGCTTACCACATCTGTGGATCTGATGCTCAGGATGGTAAAGAACTAACACCAGTAACCAAGCAAAGTGAAGTTCTGCTAAATGCAAACCTCCCCACAGAGCTCTTTCATTGTAAAAAGTCAAATTCTTGATTCAACCTCCCTAGAATAGCCTTGAACAGAGGCTGTGAAATATACCAAACGGAGCCAAATTAACATAGCAATTTTGTGTTGTGCATCCAGCATCCTGCATTAACACAACTCCACAAATCTCATTTTCACTTATGCCCCAAGGCAAAATTTTAAATACAGGTCTCAAATGCTTGTAAGACTTGACTATTAACCCACTTTCATCACTAAACATCCAAAAAATAGTGCTATTAAGTGATTAGAATGTTCCTTGTAGCTACAGCTGTAAAATACAGAATTGCTCAGATTCAGAAGTATTTCACATGCGAGATACCTTCGCAGATAAAAGTACATCAGAAACTCACTAACAGGCACTAATAACTCAAAAAGAAGAACAGGAGTACTTGTGGCACCTTAGAGACTAACAAATTTATTAGAGCATAAGCTTTCGTGGACTACATCCGAAGAAGTGGGCTGTAG